TTCTTGCTTCTGCCATAAATTCCCCCAGCTGTGAGCCTTCCAGCCTTCTAAGTATTCCTTTATATGTGGTTCAGAGTTCTGGGACCATCCCCTGAGCCTACTTGGTCGGGTATTCTGTGTTGTTGTTGGCGGAGCTCTCTGCTACACGTCCACCCGATCCGCCATCTTGTTTGTTCTATGTGTTGTCTATTTTTGATATTCTGTTATTAATCATTTGGACTGCTTTCTGTAGGTTTTGAGTTGTTTCCAATGCTGTATCTATCTTATTTGATTATATTTGTAGTGCTTTCCTGACTTCTTCTCTATTTTTCTCAATTCCACTGTGAAGTGTTTTGTTACATTTTATAATAATTTTTCTGCATTCCTTCTCAGGCATTTCCAAGGTCTACCCTCCTTCCAGTATGGAGTGTAGGTCTACCTCCAGATCATTTGTCTCAGACACTTTATCTTGTTTCTGGACATGTGCTGGTATGGGCATCTGTTTTTGCTTCTTGGACATGTTCAGTGGTTAGCTGTAACCTTAATATTTAATTGAGTGTGTATTTTGGTACTTTTTGTGCTTTCTGATTGCCTCCATGTAGATGTGATCAGGAGATGGGCTTCCCTTTCCACTCTTCTTACTAGTTAATTTAGAGTAACTTTTGTAGGTGTTGTCTGCCTTCTTGGTGTATGGCAGTTAGTATTGGTTCTTGCCTGGATTGTGGGGGTTTTAGGGTGTGATTGGAGCTGGACAGGAATTGCTGCCTCTTCTTGGGTAATATAGGGAGAGAAAGAACCCCATAAAGGTAAAAGGGGGAACCAAAAAAACCAAACAGCAATGGCAAAACAACCCAGATTGGATACTGTAGTCTATAATCACAGAAAAGAGAGAGAGAGAAAAAAAAAAAAATCTGTAGCTTAATATGAGTATGACTAATATCCTCTTTCAGCTTCTTGCCTTCAAGGCCTCCTGAGAAATTTCAAGATGCCACTGTTGGTTGTTATGATGTACCTCAGGATTTAATTTTCAGCCTGTTTCGTTTTTGGTCTGTCTCCCACTCCACAACCCCTTTCTGGCCTTTTTCTTAGTAATAAACAGTTCAGGGCTGGCTGTTGCCATTTTGTGCTACTGTTGGTTTTAAGTGGGATCTGCCCCTCTAAATGCAGAGAGGATCTGTGCACATGCTCAGGCACCCCCTCTAGTCACCAGAATGGAGATGCTCAGACAACAAGAGGCCAATGAACAGATAACCAAAAAAAATAACAGAACAAAACAAAACAAAAAACCTTGTCCACACCTTTAGCTCCCAGGTTCCCGCAGGCGGCAGGCCGTGGTGGGTCTGCTGGCTACCTTGCTAGTCTCTCCCAAGTTATGGGCTCTAGGTCGCTGAGCCCCGCAGGTTCGAAAGTTTGATTTTTCTTGCTTCCGATACAAGTTCTACCAGCTATAAGCCTTCAAACTTGTAAAGTATTCCTACATGTGTGGTTGAGAGTTTTGGAGCTGTCCCCTGACCCCGCTTTGCCTGGTATTCTGTGGTACTGCTGACGGAGATCTTCACTGCACCTCTACACTATCCGCCATCAAGCTCTGCCTCTTCCATTACCTTTTAGTCCCTTTTTTCCATCACCCTTTTGAAGCTCCCTCGTATAGCTAGGATTGGTTTTGGGAGGTCACATCAGAGGGCTGTGACCAACTCTGAGGACCTGCACACTGACTCCCACAGCAGCTGTATCTCATTCCGTTCCCATCAGCAAGCAACAAGGTTCTAACTTCTCCACAAGCTTGCCTCTCATGGTTTCCATGTGAAGATGACATGTTGACTTGTCATCGTCTTGAGCACCCAGGTTGAAACCAGGAGCTGATCATCACAGAGGTGCCATTGGAGCCCTTGTGGTTTGGGGTCCTCACTGGCCCAGTGTCTTGTAGACGGGTTCCTTCCTCTGGTTTGTGTCCCTCTTGCGGGATTGTGCAGGGATCTGAGGGGCCCGTCCCCTCACTTTTTCCACATGTCTCCCTGCAGCCCCCCTGGCCACAAGGAGGAGCCCTACCTCACTGAGGCAGGGCGAGACGCCTTCGACAGGTTCTGCAGACTCTGTGAGGGGGGATTGCAGCTGCTGGGCGGCGGCCTCCTCCCAACCCCACAGCGGGTCCTGGTTCCGGAATGCGAGCTGGTGAAGGACACGCTGAACGTGCTCATCGGGGTTGCGTCTGCCACGTTCTCACTCTCCCAGGTAGGCAGTCCTGCTGGGTGACAGCTGCCTGGACAGACCTCCTGCCCAGGGGCCGTAGCAGCTGGGTTCTGTCCAGGCCACTTCATCCTGGTTTAAGTTATCGATTTGCTAGTTTTCCCTAAAAACTTGGCAAGGTGTGTCACAATGGAAAGTAGGCCTCGGACACTGAGCTGACCCCTCTGTCCTGTGCTTTGGTACTGCCCCTGCTCCCCCAGGCAGCCCTGCCCTTCAGCCCCCTCGAGTCTCAGACGGAGTGCACACGGCTCACAGTGCCCCTGGTGTCCCCACATTTCCCATGAGGAGAACTGCCGGTCCCATAGTGTGATTGCCGTCAATGTTTGTCCTGGCCTGTGCCTCCTGTCCACGCCTCTTGTCCACACCTTCTCTGTCTCCATGTCCAGTCACAGTCCTCGGTGCTTTCACCACACCCCTTCCGTCCACCGTGAGTCTGTGTGTGATGGTTGGGGTCTTGCTTTTTAGTTCCATATGTGTGTCTGAGGTCTGAGCACTCGGGTGGCTGTCCTGGGTGCAGAGCGAGCACCCTGAGCCCCAGGCTCTGCTTTTCTATTGCAGCTGGCACAGGCCTTCCTGGTGAAGTTGGGCGTGTACGTGTCAGGGACATCCCCTGAGAGCATGCACAGCCTCCTGTCCGAGGTGGCTGCCTGTGGGACCTACTATGTGCGCCTGAGCCATTTCTCTCTACAGCCAGTGCTGGAGTCTGTGGGCAGCAAGGGCCTCGTGTTCCAGGTACCCATCCCCCCCCCAGACCCCAGGAAGGCCACGTGGGGGGACCATGTTTCCACACTGTGTCACTGGGGCCTGGGCAGGGAAGGACCGGGTGTGGGTGAGCAGATCTCCCCTTGAACAAATCAGCCTCCTGATGCGGGGGCTGGGAGTGGCACAGCGAACAGGCTCACAGCAGAGGTGGGATTGGTGGGGACAAAGTGGGCAGAGGGCCCCGCCCAGGCACACAGCAGGTGGGGTTATCAGAGACACGAGGGTTAGGGGGCAACGGTCCAAGTCAGCAAGCAAGTGTACAGCCGGTGGGGTTGTTGAATCCACACTGGGTGGTGGTCCAAGCCAGCAAACATACAGCCGGTGGGGTTGTTGAATCCACA